AATAATTTTATATTTTTTAATGACGATTTGCCTATAGCATCTTTAATCGCGATACAAGTTGACTTATAATAGATGTAGATGATCTTTCCTTATACCAGCTAAAAAACCATGTTGACTCAGTGTGAAAAAGCCGAAATTTGAAAAGCCTCTTCCTCATTTACCCGGTAAAAGAAAACATCTACTTGATAATAAAAAATTTATTTACGATCAGTTGGTGTACAATTTGGGCATGTGATTGCTACTAAAGCAACAAAAAGTTTAGGGAATTTATAAAAGTCCGGGTGTTGAATAATGGTGTCTCAAAATTCAAACGGTACAAAAATTTATAAATTCTTTATATGATATCAAAAGCGAAAAACCAAAAAGCTTCTTCCAGGGGAATAAATAATAAAATTGGTTCTCAGCTCGTTTTTTAGTGTCCACTTGCCTAAACCTCAGAAGAATGCAAAAGATTGTATTTCACGATTGAAGAGCAGTATATGTCTGGGCAACAAATGATTTTATTGTAACATCGCTTAGAATTACTTTTTTTGAAGAAGCATGAAAACTACTTCCACTTAAATAACCACTACTGTTCCTTAATCCACTACAATGTTTGCAGTTTGGAAGCTTGCAGGAAGTATCAACAATACGGAACTTAAAAGCTCCAGTGTTTGAAAATTTTGAACTGATTTTTCTGGGTAAAGCCTAGACAACCGATTGAAGTTAATTTATCTCACAAATTTCTCCAGAACTTACCAAAGCCTCAGCATCATCGAATCGTTAAAAAACTCTCAAACTAAATAAACCGGTGTTAGCCAATTTCCTGCAGCTTACGCCTTGATTTTTCAGTGAAAATATTCGTTTTAAATGTAATGGAAACATACTTGCCGTCAACAATTCTTATAACCGCTAAGTAGATATATAAAAAGTTAAAAACTTAAATTAATTCTACTAATCAACTACAGCTTTACAGTTACAGTAGTCTCTAACGTGGGGAGTTTAGCACACTTTTACGAAAGAGCTGTTTTACCACTAAAAATGCTCTGTTTAATAAATCAATGGTTGCAGAGCATTTTCAAATGATGTTTGGTCAAGGATTAACAAATCGACTCATCGGCAGCATTAAATTGTACCACTGGGTTTGTAATTGAAGGTGTCACATGCAAAACCTTAAAAAGAAAAACAAAAAGAAAAAATTGAATGTCAATGCGATCACCTTCTACAGAGCATCCTTCTGGTTGGCAAAAGAAGGTTACGTCGGCTGGGAGTTTAAAATCCTTATGATCATCGACTGGATATCGGCGAAGTATTTCAGGATTAGCATATGAAATTGAAGAAGAAGAGTCGTTAAGACCTGGTTGAAGATCGGCTTTAGCACGATGTTTTCTTCCAACTATGACCTGTAAGAAACCAATTTCTGGCTAAAAGTAAACAAAAACAAAATAATTCCGGAAGTAAATTTGCCAAATTTATCGTGCCAAACTAAAAAGTCAGGCAGGTGTAACGAGATCAAAACCAATAAATTAATAACACTTGAGGTCAAAGTATAAATGATTATACATATCACTTCTTGTTATAATAAGGAATCATCAAAAAATTAGTACTATTGAGTGAGACTCAAAATAGCCAAAGTTTCTAATATGTATTGTAGCTGGAACAAGTTAAACGATCTTTTTAGATGAGTTAATCGTTGAAAAGTGTACAATCTCAATTTGGCAATTAATTTTAACATAATAGAATTATATTCGAACATATTTGGTTCCGCTGACTGGAAAATTTTTTTAGCCTATTCTACTTGCAATACTTAAATAATAAGACTAAAAACTTTCTCTGCCGGTCTTCAATAACAGTGACATCACATTTTTAAGTAGAATGCTCCCAAAATTTTGTTTGTTTGACGATTTGTTTGACTAAAAACAAATGATGATTCCCTTCAATTTATTCAAGAATAAAAAAAAAAGTTTGAAAAGTTGTATACCAGAAAATCGATAAGTCTCGGGCACAGGTCTTTGGCTTTATTCTCCATCAGACATGTTGGCCGCAGATACTCATTTTTTCATCTCTGTAACAAGAAGAATCTGATATTGAAAGAAACATAGTCATAAATACGACTTTTTACCAAAGATATAATTTTATAACATAAGCTACTAGTCGTTGATAGTTGCAAATAAATGTGATTAGACAGCTGACCGGCATATAGATCGCATCACCAATAAAAGGCAATTGAAGCAAATGACCAGTAACTGACTGACGAAAGTGATACGTAAGGATTAAATTTTATCCAAGTTACATTTGCACAACAACAAAAGAAAAGGAATTCTTTGTTCAACCAAGTGTATAGAAACCAAGAAACATGGAAAGTAGTAACGGATTTGGGTTCGCATAAAAGGTACATTATTTATAGTAAACATAACATATTCCTTAGAAGGTGAAGAAAATAAATTTAACCTAAGCAAAAGTTATGTCAGTAACGCCTTTGGCGAAGCTACGATTGAATTATGCCAGTACGGTTATAATCAGTTTCCCAACAAGGTCATTATAGATGCATTTCTGAAAAAGTGAAGAAACCCAAGGAAATTATTTAACGTATGAAGGCGCTGAAGACGAAGCGGTGCAAGAATAAACTGTAGCATACAGTGACTGGTTTTCAAAAAAGGTTTTTTATTATCTTTGAACAATCTTCTACTTTCTGCAGCGAGCGACTTTCATTGTTCTAAATGCTCTACCAGTGACTATATCTGTAAAAATTTAAATATGTTATAAAAATTGATAATAAAAGTTACGCTTCATGAAAATAAGGAATAGCAAACAATTTTACTGTGAAAAACGCTGCTTCTTCCCGATTTTGACGCTTGCTTCGTAGTATAAATTATTTTCTTTTCAGCTTCTGCATCGAACACAGAGAGTAAAAGAAGCAGCAAACAGATACCATTAGCTACAACAAATGGTTTCCTTATCTAGTTCTGAGCAACACGACATCAATAATGGAACACAACTAATTTCAACGCGTTTGCTGTCGTCACAGACGATATTGGTGTCAGTCAGGCGATAAAACGTCATAATGTCGTTAAACATATGTAACCGCAAAACACTGAAGGGGAAGAATGTTTCAAAAAATGTTTTAACCAGTGTTTACAATCTTTCCAGTTTACCAAAGTGGAATATATCTTAGTTCAATGCTGATTGAAGCGTTCCGCGGTTTACTGTATGTACTGCTGAATCTCGAAAGCTAACGATCAAATCACTCAAAAGAGTCGGTGATTAAAACCGAAAATGGAAGGACAGGAAAAAAATTAAAGAATTGTTGTTTGCATTTTGAAGACAGTAAAATTTTTTTCCTGTAAAAATAGTAATCAGTAGTTGCTGTTGAATATTTCTTTCTTTAGTAAGATTCTATATTACTGGATAAAGCAGATAAAATAATGATCGCTTATACTTGTAAGACTAACCCGTACAGTGAACTAAAAAAAAATTTTTTTAAGCCCCTGACCTTATTGATTTTCCGAACTAATTTTTCATATTTTTATGCGGTATTGTACAAAATTATTCCTCGCTTCAAAACCGCAAAATTTTTTCCTTTTATTTTTAAACCTTCTTCTCTCGTCCAGATTTGATCTGTTTATCAAAGCAACTACTTCAAAATAATTACAAACCTTTGAACCTACTTTTTACCACTATTCATTTACTGTTCAAGAACACTGACGCATCCTGTAGATATGTAGTTCTGAGCACAGGTAACATAAACAGCATCCATCAGGTTTTCTATTTTTTGGAAAAGCAGTCAAAACTATAGGAGTAGCCTCTCAGATTTCATACCAACACATTATTCGTTGCGGTCTCAAGAAAAAAAATTTTCTGAAGTCATTTTTATGAGTAAAGGCAGGCAAAGCATTAAATGCACCAATAAAATCCCCATTTAAACGTTTTTTCTTTCCTACCCTTAGCACCTCCGCACTGCGTCGTTGCCACCTATTATACAAAATAATGTTGGTAGCCTAGACGCTATAGTTCCCTCATCTTTCAGAATACATAGAATATGCAAATTTGATACACAGAAATTAAGTAATGCATGTTTACGAAAAAAAAAGATTCCCGGATGTATGTACTAAAAAGTGATAATAGAAACGATAAATTGATAATAGAAAGAATTTAAAGCATAGTCTGATAATACGACATTTTGTCCCTGCCGTAGTTACCGTGATCTTGGTAATTTCAAAGTGACAAATGAATGCAGACAATAATTCATCAGAGGTGCTTATTCGAGTAAGTATTCATGCACTTCTGTTTTCGGCCAGCTGTAACAAACAAGTTTCAGCCAAAGTATTCCCCTGTAATTTTCATAAAAAATACGCTTACTTACAGGTTACTTTTTTCGCCAAATATGTTGCTTTACTTGTTGAAAATATCGAATGCGACAAAATGAAAATTTTATTCTTATTTGCTCGCTGAAAGGTCAAACGTTAAAAGCCCACTTTTAGCACAAAATGTACCACCAGTTTACGTCATAAAAATAATAAAAAAAAAACGGGAAATGACAGAACAATAAAAACGCAAAAAAAGTCTAACTACAAAATGTAAATGATTGCAATTAATCTTTTTTTAGAGCTGAAATTCTTCCGTTCTTTTTTTTCGAATGGAAGTGTTAGGTAGTATGTCGGCTACCTAAGGTAGGAAACAATAAAGTAAATTTTGTGAGAAATAAAAAAACCTAACGTAATGACATAGAGGAATGACGAAATAAAGGATGTTCGGATTTTAAGTTAGGAATTGAAATAACACCGTTGATTTTCAACAGACTAGCCAAAAAACTACCTCTATAGATGCATGCACTGTGATCTTAAGATCAGTTTAGTACAGTCTGCAGATCAGAGACTCTTTTGTAAAACGGACTTTGAAAAGAACTTGAAAAGTGATTGCGCAACTGTGTTACAATTTTTTTCGCGAACATGAATTTTTATGAGCATCAAGCCAACAACAGATGCAGCACAGATAAGGGCATCGAGATTGATTGATGAGAAGGTTAATTCAGTGATCACGTCTATTTGGAATAACAATAACTATACGGTGATTTCTGGTTCTGCTAGAAATGGCAATTTAACAATATGGGAAACTATTGGGTTAAACTAGTGCCCTCCTAAAAAACCAAATTTTTAAGACGAGCAGTAATTAAAATCAAAGTATCGGTAAAGTATTATAAATTTTTAGGGAAAACTAATAATACCAGAGCACAGACATATACGAATAAAACATATTAAATATTTATACTGCGGATATAAACTAAAATTGGTTCTTGCCCAGACTTAGTGGAGCGTTCTGGTTAAAACTCAATGCATATTTTCCATATTGGTGTGTATTTGTGTTTGTGTGTTTGTCTGCGTGTCTTTATGTCTGTGAGAAGTCAGTCAATTGAACGTCAGCATAAGTAAAAGCGCCTTATCGATTTGCTGCCGTACGACTGGGTGTAAAGGCAGGAATCCCAGTGCTTAAACTAGGTTTTCGCTTGCTGTTACCATTGGCCACTGGTACACCCAACGCACATCACAACTGAGCTTCCTCCGCAGAGCCCGGCTTTGACGGCAGATCTGTCTGCATCGCTGCTGGTTTCCAGTCAATTCACTGCATCATGCATCCGTCCTCACTCCCTTTTTTCGCTTCTCATCTCCATCGCACAATTGCCTTTTTCGTCTCGGTGTTTGCAATGTTGTGGCATTGAACATTTCACTCCAGCCCAGCCTCTGGATTTCCTGTTGTTATTTCATTTCCCGTTTAAGTGGAAGTAAGCAGCTAAAATTCTTTCTCGCACTAATTCTTCTGCTTTCTGAGAGTATGCAAAGCAGCTGTATCAACAATTATTACAAGTGACGTAAAATGGACCAAGAAAGTTGAAAAACAACAAAGGAGGTGCATAGCTAGACAGACTCCGCAATTTCACTGGAAAGCGGCAGAAGTAGATTCCTTTAGAGGACTATTCAAAAAATGCTGCAATTTTATAATTTACAAATAAATTTAGCCATTTTATTTATATATTATGATCA